TGGTGGGTGCCGCCGCGCGTCGGCACGTGTCCGCTTGTCCGCCTGTGCATGTGTCTGTGCACGTGTACACACGTACATGTGTTTGCATGCTTGTGTCTGTGCATGTCTGTGTGCGCGTGCAGGCATGTATGTACATGGGCTGCTTCCTACTTGGGGGTGTCCGAGCGAGTCCCTCCCCGCTTCCCACTCCCCACCGTGGCACGGGGGCCCGTGCGTGTGGGCCTCCGGGAGGGCGGGTGGGGGCCGCCCCCGCGGCGCTCACGGCCGCGCTCCCCCAGGAGGTGCAGGTGCTGGGCCGGCGTTCGGCTTCGTGGAGGTCGGCAGCGTCACGCCCCAGCCCCAGGACGGCAACCCCCGGCCCCGCGTCTTCCGCTTGCCCGAGGACCAGGCCGTCATCAACAGGTGGGAACGGGGCCGGGGTGGCTGGGCTTCGTGGCCTGGTGGGGTGGGCCCTGGGGCTCCTGGCGGTGCCGTCCCATGCCCATCTCCACGGTGCTGAGCAGTGCATGGAGGCCGGGTGCTGGAGGCCCAGTCCTGCCCCAGCTGAGGCTCCCCTCCTCGCCTGTCGCAGGTACGGGTTCAACAGCCACGGGCACGCTGCTGTGGAGCGCCGCCTTCAAGCCCGGCAGGATGCGCAGCTGCAGCTGACTGCAGGTCAGGGTGCTGCGGGCCGGGGGGCTCACCTGGGTAACGGGGGCAGCAGGGCTGTGCTGCTTGGGAGACATGCAAGGCCGCAGCCCTGAGCCAGCGCCTGTAGCTTGGGGGTCCTTCCCCTGCGGCCACAGCAGGCTGCTCTGCAGCTGCCTTGGGGGCTGCTGCTCGGGTCTGGGCAGCTCTGGGGCCGCACAGCAGTGGCTGAAGCCTGGGGGGCTCCCTGCCATTGGCCCAGCGCTGGTCTGGCCTTGCTCTGTGAGCCTGGTGCTGGCTCTGGGCCCCAGCAGCTGGCAGTGTTCACGCCTCTGTGTTGGACCTCGCCTGTCTTGGGGGTGGGGGGCTGCGTCTCCTGGCCTGGGGCAGGGACCCGGCGGCTGGTGGCCGACCAGTGCCTGTGTGCTGCAGCGGGGCGGCCCCTCGGGATCAATCTGGGCAAGAACAAGAGCTCGGTGGATGCCGTGGCCGACTACGTGGCTGGGGTGCGGGTGCTGGGCCCGCTGGCTGACTACCTGGTGGTGAATGTGTCCAGCCCCAACACCCCGGGGCTGCGGGACCTGCAGGGCAAAGCAGAGCTGCGCTGCCTCTTGGCCAAGGTGAGTGACCGCCCGGCTCCTGGGGCCTCGTGTACACTGGCCACCTGTGGTGGGTCTGTGAAGTCAGGCCCTTTTCCAAGGAGGCAAAATGGGTGCCACCATCTCCAAATGGGTGTGGGGCAGGGACTGGGATGTGCCTGAACATGGGGGCCAGTGCTTGGAGAATGCAGTTGGTCTTGTACCGGGGGAAGGTCGTGCTGATCCTGTTCGCTCCGCTCTGCACCGTGCTGTGCCGCTGGTGGGCAGCTTGCACCTCTGGCTCTGCCAGGCCGTCTTCTCCCTGCTCAGACATGCCCTATTCTCCCCGGGCAGTGGCTGGGTGCCAAATGGGGGTGAGCTTGGCCTGGGCCAGGGCAGCACTACCTGGTGCTCATGGCTCAGCTTCTGCAGGTGCTGGAGGAGCGGGATGCACTGCCCTGCGTGCCAAAGCCGGCCGTGTTGGTGAAGATTGCGCCCGACCTCAGTGCGCAGGACAAGCGGGACATCGCCAGTGTCGTGAGCGAAGTGAGGCAGCACCGAGGGGGAGCATGGGGATCTGGGGCCCAGCTTGGGCCACAGACAGTGGTGCTGCAGAGCCCCCTTGGCAGGTCCAACAGGGCCGTGTTGGGCTGGTCCGGGTTTAATCCTTGTTCTGTCAGGTCCCAGACATGGCCCCCAGCCAGAGGCAGAGGTCATGCCCCTTGGCGCTAACCATGCCTGGATCTGGCAGCCCCCAGCCAGGCAGCTCTGCCTGCCCCTACACAGGGCAGGGGCTCGAGCCATGGGCAAGGGGCTGTGGGGAGACCCCTTTACGCCCTGTCTCTCTCCCAGCTGGGGGTCGATGGGCTGATCGTCACCAACACCACCGTGAGCCGCCCCAGCAGCCTGCGTGGCGTGGCACGAGCAGAGCCCGGGGGGCTGAGTGGGCAGCCCTTGCGGGACCTCTCCACGGAGACCGTGCGCGAGATGTACTGCCTTACCCAAGGTACTGGGTGGTGCAGGGCCTGGGTGCTGTCTCCTGCCTCTGCCTGGTGCTGACCCCTTCCCTGCTCGCAGGCCGCGTGCCCATCGTCGGTGTGGGTGGCGTGAGCAGCGGGCAGGATGCGCTGGACAAGATCCGAGCCGGGGCATCGCTGGTGCAGCTGTACACGGCGCTCACCTACCGTGGGCCTCCTGTGGTGGGCACCGTGAAGCGGGAGCTGGCTGCACTGCTGAGGTGAGCGCAGGGCCTTGCCGCGCAGGGCCTTGCCTCCCAGGGCCACCCCACAGGACCATGCTTGCAGTGATGGGGGCCGGGGCCCTGTTGCCTGCCTCAGCCCCCCAGGAGAACTGCCTGGGCCTTGGTCGCAGTCTGTGGTCAGGGGCAGCTGGAGGCTGGGATGAGCTGCCCAGGCCATGCCCAAGAGGCACGGGGTTGGGAGGCCTCTCCCTAGCGGTGCTGCTGCGGGTGCCCTGGCCCCGTCTGGGTCTGCTCCTCACAGCTGGGGAGCTGGGTGAACAGCGGCAAGTTCAGGGTCAGGGCAGGCGTGAGGCTGGCGGCTGGCTCTGAGCTTGGGCCAGGGGATCATGGTGCTTTCATCTCGCTGCAGGAAGCAGGGCTTTGCCAGCGTCACGGAGGCTGTTGGGGCGGATCACCGGCCCTGAGGATCACGGGGCCAGGGGCTGGCGCTGCCTGCCCTTGCTCAGAGGAGCTGTGGGGCCTGAAGCCCAGCTGTCTGCACCACCTTGAGCGTGAAGTGACTTGGACTCCAGCCCAAGGCCCCCAGGCGGGTGCAGGGTGCAGCAGGAACTCAGGCCCAGTGCCCGCATTGCCTCCGGGAGGCATGGTGAAGTGGGGGTCTTGGGGCAGCACTGCTTGGCCTGGCAACTGCTCTGAGTGTCACCCATGCGCACACTGACGCTGGGGTGGAGCCTTGCGCCGGTGGCCACGGGAAAGGGTGGCCGTGCCCCGCCTATGGCTCTTTTTTTGTGGCAGGAGGAATCCCCTGGGCTGCTATGGCCCCCTCTGCTGCCAGGCCCTGCCCTGAGCTGCTACCTCTGGTATTGTCCCCAGTGCTCAGCTGTGTCTTTCCCTGGGCTGGGGTCTCTTAGGCCTGGCCCTGTGTGGGGCTGGTATCATCTCCCCAGCTCGGGGGCTGCACAGGGTCTTTGCCTCCTGCCATTAAACTTGGTGCTTGCTCACTCCATGGGCCTCATCCTTCCTTTGCTGCTGCTCCGTGCCTTCCCTGGGCCCTGTGCTCGTGGCTCAGCAATGGGGAGGAGTGGGGCCTGCATGGGCCTGGCAAGGAAGTCCCTGAGCAGGAAGGACGGGGGCCCTGGCGTGGCATCTGAGTGGCTCTCCTACTTTCCTGCTTCTGCTGCAAGGGGGGTGGGCAGGCCTGTGCCCTCTATCCCGTGCCCACGGGCTGCGGGTCAGCACTTCCCCAGGCGCTGGTTCCGTGTGTGAACGGCTGCTCGTAGCGCAGGGGCCTGGTGGGAGCTCTGCCTGTTGCAGGCTGCGCCGGCCTGGTGGGGCTCAGCTGAACACAGACAGGCCAGGTCTGCCCCACCTGCGGTCAGCACAGGGCAGTTGGGTGAAGGGGGCTGGGATGCAGCCCATGCTCAGCTCCACTCCGCTGCTGTTGTGCTGCCCTTGGGGTGTGAGACTCCCCTGCCCCCTAGCCCCAGCCCCAGCAGGCTCCCACCCGGCTGTAGGCTCTGTCGTGGCCTTGACCAGGAGCTTGCTGGGGTCAAAGGAGCTGCCCTTTCCCTGCGCTACCTTGCCCAGTTCCCCAGGCATGACCACCTCGAGCCTGGTTTGAGCTGTGGTTGCTGCCTCTTTCAGCCTATCCCAGCTGGCCTGGACCCCATCTGCACTGGCCCAGGGCTCCTCGAGCTTGTTTCCACATCCCTTCCTTGCTGCAAGCCCTGGATCCACTGTCCTGTTTGCCGCCGGGTGATCACTTGAGCCACAAGACCCCTGCCACACAAGGCCTGGGCAGTGCAGGGCCAGGGGTGCTGCACTGAGCCCCCAGCCCTATTGGGCTGCAGGGATGGTGCCACAGGGCAGAGGTGGAGGGGTAGGCCCTGGCACAGAGCACTGCGCTGAGGCTTCTTGGCAGCCCCTGTGCCAGGTGAGCCCTGCAGCTGTGGCAAAATAGCACCAGCTGCCCCAGACCGTTTGGCACCCGGTAGGGGAAGGGACAGGAACATCCTTGCACTATAGTTCCCAGAGCGGACAAAGGGAAGAGCACCTCCGCCCCCGTCCGGCCAAAAATCACTCTTGCCAGTTCCCAAAACGAGCACAGCACGTCCCGATCTGAGCAAACACCAGACTGGGGCCAGCTGAGCTGGGCGCAGGGGGACAAGGACATGCCTATCGCAGCCCCCCCAGCCTGGGACCCTGAGCTGGCAGGGGGGCAGGCTGGGCTGTGGGTGCCCCTGTCCCTGGCAAGCAGACATCCTCTCCCAGGGCCCTCAGTGTGACCTTGTGGGTCTACCATGAGGAGACCACTCTGGAGGTGTTGAGGGTGGGCTCACCTCCGGGCCCTGCCAGCTGGGCACAGGGCTGAGCTACTGCACCCTTCCTGGACCTGCTGTGCAGCCAGGCGCGGTGGCAAGGGGCCTGACCCAGTCATGCTCCCAGCTGGGTGCAGAGCAGAGATCTGAACCCAGGTTTCCCACCCATCCCCCCCCCCCCGGCCCCC